TTTAATCGTACTTATTTTAACTCGCATAAAAATAATGTACAGAAAAAAATATAAAAGCTTGAAAGTAAACGTAAGTATTTTTTAGCATAAAAAAATTACGAGGAATTAATTTTTAATGAAATATCCTTTAATAACTAACTTATTCGACATTGCTTAGAATGTAATAGAGTGTTAGCTGTTTCAATAGAAATTTTGTATCATTCTCCTCGTAATATAACTTTTAAATGTCCTTTATTAGTAATCTGGTATTTTCAAACAACTTTTTCAAATCATGAATTCTCTGAATCAGGAATATAAAGACTTGTGAAGGCCGTGGGCCACTTGTACTTTCTGTAACTTTTCTACGACTGTACAAAAAAAAATTCTTTAAAAAAATTTAACTTGCAGATATTTAATTTTTTATAAATAGTTAAAATAGATCGTATAATAAAACGCAAATCAAACTAACAAAAAGTAATAAAATAATTTGATCCGTGATATTAAATAAATTTAATAAGTGTTGTATTTGTTTAACTTTTTGTAGCAACTAAGGACAAAGGTGATTAATTAAATGGTTATTCAAAAATGTCTTGATCCAAACAGACTTATCCATTTCAGTGTATTATTAGCAACAACCATACATACGTTGTTGAGCAAATTTTAAAAAGGAACGTGTTTTGGGCAATAAATACCATGTGGATAAAAGAAATTGCACAGATAGAGATGCTGTCCCCACAATAGCACACTATTGGCAAATAATCTCGTCTTCTAATCTGCAATAAAATAAAAAGCACTAAAACAATATTTTTCAAATATTTAAATATTTACGTTTTTTTAAACTAAAATCGACCATGTTCCTTCATGTCCATATTTATTTCGTTATAATCTGAAAATCTTTCAAATTTTTTTTCCGAGGCGGGTCGTATGCAGCCCACGGACTTCTTTTATACCTATGCATCCTTGCTCTATAGCAGAGGTCTCCAAACTACGGCCCGCGGGCCAAATCCTGCCCGCCAGTGTCATCAATCCGGCCAGCGACAGCGAATAGCATATTGTTGCTGTAATAAGTTGGATAAAAAAACACAGAATGATAATAACTCGGTTTTACTGACTTGCTAGGTAAAGCTTAATGACAAGCATAATACGCAGAAAATTTAACTTAACCATAACAACTAACAAATAATTGAAATGAATTCCACTAACATTATAAACTAGTGAACATCCCGCGGTTACCCTCAATAGTTATACCTACCTATTTCCGGTTTTAACCACTAGATGTCGTCAAGAGTCACGGTTGTATCGATACACACAATAGTAATTGTAGTAATTGAACCAGCGAATTTAGCAAGCGTATGCTCGCTCAGAGCGCGTACTCGGCGACTAATCTAGAATTTATAGATAATGGCAGAAAAATTAAAACGGTTTTGGCCCTTGGTTCTTATTGGAGTAAACAGTATGGCCCTAAGGCTGGGAAGTTTGGAGACCCCTGCTCTATAGCATTCAAATCAGGAACTGTGATACTGCATCAGGACTGTGTATTTTAATCTGATATTTACTATTATACTACAAGTTATTCTAATTACATTCGCTACGATTTGCATCTTTATTATGTTACAGGAGAAAATTTAATCCCAATCTCAATATACCAGCTTTGCCCTTCATGATAACAAGATCTGTCATTTTGTTCATGATTCAGTTCAGTAAAACATGCTACTGCTACTGATGTGCATACCCAAACCATCACTGTCTCACTCCCCTGCTTTACAGTTTGAATTACTTTTCATTTAAAAAAAAGGCAGATTTAAAATTTTAACAACGCTTCAATTCAAAAAAATTTTTAACCTACTTGCCTCACTGAAGATAATTTATTCCAAAATTCATTGGGTTTTCAGATGCGATCCTCCGCAAGTTATAAACGCTATCTCTATTCCTTTTAATAATAATGGGCTTTTTCACTGTTTCCTTCCCTTTAAAACCTACTTTTATAATGATTCTGTGTAGAATTTCAATAGAAACAAACTTTCTTACGTAATTTTCAGAATATTTGTTTTAGAAATTACCTCTACTTATTTAAAATTTTCTCTACTGTTAAGCTTAAAAACCGTTTTTGACCTCTATCAGCGTTATTTTTAACATACATACTTTTTTAATATTTAAATAATATTTTTGGATGCAATTCATGCTTTGGGTAGTTATTTTCACAATCCTTTGCAAAAATTTATTTTTATTTATTAGATTACTTTGAGATTTTAGAAACTAGCTCACCTTCTCTAACGTTGTTTCTTTTCGATTCTTCATTTTAATATTCATTAACTGTTTAAAAAATATAAATTTTATTGTAGAAATATTTGGTACTTACGTATTAACGCTACCTTGGCTACAGATTTGGCGGTTTTTAAGTGGCGCCAATCTAACAGGTACAGATTTGCTGATTTTTGACGCCATTTTTTAGTGCTACGAAAATGCGTATTTGGGATTTGCCAGAAACAGAACAAGATGCAATTTTATTTTTTCAGGAGCGAAATATTTTACCAAAAAAACGAAAATGTCCCAATTCCCATGACATGAAACTTTATTTTGGTAAACGTAAGTTTTGGAAATGCAATTTCAGTCAGTGTGCTTATCATGTGGGACTTAGAAAAGACAACTGGTTTGAGGGAAGCAGAATTTTAAAAACCGCCAAATCTGTAGCTGAGGTTGGCGTTCAAAAGATAACGCGTGCGCGTGCGAACAAGATTGCTCTTTATTGGCGCAACTGTAGCCAAGGTAGCGTTAATACTTAAGTACCAAATATTTATTTATGAGTTAGTAATACTGTAAATATTTGTAACAAAATTATGATTGTATTTAATGGTAGAAAAGCAAGCATTTAAACAAATTTGCTCTCCAATTTTTTCACATTTCCTTTCTTGTTTATTATATATCTATTTAAAATTTTTTGCCTCTATTTATGAAGGATAATGAACATTAAATGTTTTAATTAGTCTGGGGATTATTTCTGTTATTAAATTACTTTTTATTTATCAAATAATTACATCATGCAAGGGGCCTGAATGGCTAGCGCTCTGGCGCACGGTACCACAGGTTTCGGCCCGGCGGTGTCATGGGTGTTTGTAGTGGTTCAGAATCCCCTTTAAACCGTTGGTCCCGGTATAACAGGATCGTAGAGCGTTGCGGGGGTATTGTTACTTCGCGTCCATAGCTTATCTTCGAGCTATACGCACCTCCTGGGTAGTGCTAAGTGAGTAACGTAGGTGCGGCGCTTGCCTTAAGGCATCCAAGAGGTTTGTCAGCTGCATGAGGAAAAAAAATGACACCATGCAAAAAAAAGTGCATCACTCGCAAAAGTTCAGGGAATCACACTTTATAAGAAAACTGAAAAGTGCTTACATACTTTTTTCAAAATTACGCAAGAATTGTTTGAAGTATCTAAAATATATTAATTACATAAGTTTTAATCCTTAAAAATGATTCATAAAATTCACATGTTTTAGGTTTTAACATCACAAATTAGGATAAATGGGAAAAAAATCACATTAAAGATATAAAATATGATAAAGCCGTGTAATAGCATAAAAAAATCGATAAACAAAATACTGAAAATATTAAAAATATCTTATCCTTATAACAGTCAAAGGACAAAAAGTCCAACTAGACAAACCTGCAAATTTGTTTCTCAAGGTTTCGAAGAAATAGAACTACTTTGATTCTTTAATAATAGTGAAACCAATTGTTACGTAGATAGAAGGTGAAATCGAATTGTCTCTTTGAAAATGATGTAGTGTATTTTTATCACTTTTTGAATGTGATACTAGAATTTATTTTTTCTTGTACAATGAATTTTCTAAATCTCCGTACACACACGAATCAAAGATTTGCTTTGTCTTGAGAGAGACCACAAGAAAAGAACGTTATCTATTATATATTACTTGTTTTATTTATTTTTATTGTCAAGTATCATTACGAAGAGAAAACAAAAGATCCATAAAAACTATAATGCGTGTTGAAATCTCATCATATAAATGGTTCCCAATTTTAAAATTTTTTATATATGTGGTTGCAAAAATGTGGCCCTAATGTAAGTTGTTCGAAATTGGTTTTGCGAATCTCTGTTATGTAGCAATGTTAAATAGTTCTTTTTAACGAATACAAAGCGAACAAATTTGTGCTTTGCTAATTTTTTTTATTAATCATCATATTAATAAGTTCAAATTATATTAATTGAAAAGTTTGATAAATAAAATTATCCAATGGTTTCGTGTAGTTAAAAAACGACCATTGAAGGCTGATGTTAAATTATTACTCTTCCATATACAATCGTGATAACAGCAGCAATTAAACTTCCCAAAACTTCGTTATAATTAAATCTTAAAAATTATCTACTTTTCAAATTTTAATAATTACTATAATATTACCTTATTTAAAATTAAAAAAATTACTTTATAATTCGATTTGTTAAATTAACACATGGTTAAGTGAGCTACCAGCGTATTACTAAAATCTGTTATACATTTAGTATGATAACAATGATGTACAATGTGTGTCAAATGTTCTTTTAAAAAATTTTTTTAATCTGAAATGAAACCTTCAGGTTTAGAAAACTTACTAAGATTAATTAAAATTAAATAATTAAATGAATAAGTAACGTTTATGTTCGGTAAATTGTATTTATTGATTTTGTATTAAGTATTCTGTTGAATTTTTGTTGAGCAGTGTGTTCGCTTCATAATTGTTGTTGTTGTTTCTTATCCCACTTGGCTGGCTAAGCCCACGAGCCCATACGTACTCATGATTGAAGGGGAAGGAAGCAGCTTTTGTTGTGATGGAGCACCCGTAGGTAGAAGTCCGACTTTGGCTCCGTGACGCTCTTACAGTCATAGGAGACCGGAACCTACGGTTTAAAGTGGTTTCCGAACCACTACAAACATCCATGGCACTGCCGGGATTCGAACCCGAAACCTGTGGCAGCGAGCGCCAGAGCGCTAGACAGTCGGCCATTCAGGTCCCAAATTTGTGAATGCTAACAGCACGCGGTGTTCCCAGGTAGTCACCCACTCAAGTACTGACCGCGCCCCTGACCGCGCCCAATGATGCTTGACTTCGGTGATCTAACGAGAACCGGTATATTCAGCATGGTACGGCCGTTGGCTCGCTTCATAATAACCAGCATATAAGGAACATGTAGAAATGACTGAAAAATCAACTAATTTTGATTTTTTTTAAATTATATGGTAAATTTTATATAGTCTTTAAAACCAAAATACACTAATAAATTAATATTGATAAAATATTGCATCACAAATGTGTTAAAATTCAGAAAACTGAGACTGTTTAAAATTGTTTTCAAGCTTTTGAATTGAGTGGTAAAAGAAATATCAGAAAATCTGATTATATTTGACAACTGATGCAAGATCTTTATCATTATCATATGCATAATCAGCAAATTGGTACTGTATGGTAAAAGCAGCAGTTATTGTAAATAATTTCATTTTTGCCTTGGATTGACTTTTTTTCTCAGGTAAAAGTAATCGGAGATTAAAATTTGAAATTTTATCTTTTACAGTTTTTCACCTAAATTATGTTAAAAAACTATCAAGATATATCTGAAATTGCAAGGGAATTCTAATCCAATTTGCAAGCATTCAATTTGCATAAAACCTGCACTAAATAAAAATGATACACCTAAAATACAATTCAGATTTTATTAGTCCACCTTCAAACATGTTGAGAAAAAAAAAAAAAATCGTTCTGCTCAGTAAATCTCAAAACCAGTTGGTTACTATCATGGCATAATTATCTACAAAATACCATATAATTGTGATGTTTTTGATTTATGAGAATAAAATATCATGAAAGTTTTTTCACCTGATAATTATAAAATCATCCTTTCTAACCAAAATTTTACATTTAGAAACTTTCAAATAAATAATATCAAAATATAATTATTTGCCTGATATGAAATGTAAATTTTAAGAATGTAATAAAAAGAATTTAAAATAAAGAATTAATATATTCAAATCACTTTTACTTCAACAGAAATAAAAGTAAATAATATTAGTAAGTAATTCTACTGCAAAAAATTAAATGTTGTATCGTTTAAAATATTCATCTTGTTCATTTAAAAAATAGACGAGAACTCGTACATAAAATATTATACTAAAAAGTAATATTCTTCTAATAAACTTTTATAATATTTAAAATTATTTTAATAGAATACTTTAAGAAAGATTATTAAAAGAACTATTTAAAAAATTAAATGTGTTGCCATTTGGAAAACGGTAACTATGAACAGAATGACAAATGAAATTAAATATATTAACTTAAATTATATTATTTGTATGTAATACAATAAAGTAGTTTCTACATTTTAATAAAATATACATAAATTATTTCAAGATCTTATACACTCATTGTTTTTTTTTTCTGTTTTGCATGATTATCAAACCAATTGAATAATAAATTATTTTTTATTTTTTATTTATTTTTTTAAATTGATCTTTAATAAAATTAATGCAATAAGTAATTACTTTGTTGTTACAATAATTTACAATAATTCATTAGTAGTTTTAAAAGGCTTATAGTTTTGTTGATACTAATCTTTTTGTTTTTCGTTGATAATCAAAATGATTTATAACTTGTCAAAGCTGTTTATAAAGAAATATATCTTAACGTTAAAGGATAAGTTCAAGTTTCTCTTAACATGCTTATAGATAAGTCTCATTCATAAAGTTAAATAATATCCACTAAAAAAATTTATCAATAGTTTTAGGAATATAAGCAATTCCAAAACGAAGGTTACAAAAGCTTTCAAAGTTTAAGTTTATTTTGTAATTTATAAATTAAAAAAACAAAATAAAAAAAAGAACGAAAAAATTTAATCATGCATAAATAAACATGAATCATTAATCAGGTAAATTATTTTTATTCATAGGAAATTAGAAGGTGTTCCAAAGGAAGCCAGGCTGTCTTTGGAATTTTTGGATGAAGTTCTCGATCAATATGAAAGTGAAGTAGAGCAATTTGCAGAAAATAAACCTAGGTAAATTTTAATTTGAAAATTTTTATAAATTATTTAAATTGTTTATCAGTCGTTATGCAATTTTTATAAACGCACATAAAAATTTTGAATTTTTTGGATAGACGTTTTGAATGTTATTTAAATATTAAATAATATATGTAGAAATAAATATCTCAAATAAGAACTGCTACTAAAATTTTTAAACTGAAAAAAATGCAAAGACCAAAATCGTCAATATTTTAAAGGCTACTTCATCAAGAAAGTTCAATGTATAGAAAACATAATACCTATGCATCATAAATATAATGTCTAATTTTAAAATTAAAATTAAATCAAACCAATTTCATAAATGAACATCAGGATACCTTGAGTATTAAAAATCTGTTAATGTTATTGCATTTATAAAACCTGAAAAGTAATAAATTAAAACTCTGAATTAAGTAAATTTTAAATTTAAAAAATAGTTGTAATACTAATCTAGATACAAAATTTTTCGGAACATTTTGGCAAACAGTAATTAACGCACTTCATCAGTTTGATTGATAAGAATTATTCTATTAATTTACAGACACTTGGAAGACATACCTGTGGATGTAAGACATTCATTAGAAATATTGGATGATATTTTAACTGAGTATGAAGGAGACGACAATAGTTATGATGATGTCAAGGATGAAGACTCCTCTACGCAAGATTTAAGGTAAAACAGTTCTAATAATATCTAGCTTTAATTAATAATTCATAAAATTATAATTAATCACTTAATGAAATCGGCATTAATCAGAGATCATTCATTCATATTTGTAGGCAATAATTTATAGTATGAGTTGTATTTATGATTGACAACAGCCACAACTCATAATTGTTTCTATATATCAAGAAAAATCGCGTATCTTCAACGATACTTCAATAACAGGTGGTAATATATCTGTAGAATTACAGTCCTGCTATTTTCAAACTATAGTGTGATGCAACCAGCAAACCAGTTAATAACTGATCATAAGTAATTATTCAGTGATTCATTAATCAAAGTCATTAATCATATTTGTAGGTAATAATTTATAAACTTGTGAGTTGTGTCTATCATAAAGGATAGAAGTACCACGCAATTGTTTCTATATACCAAAGGAATCTCCTGTCCTCAAAAATACTGTATTATAACATTTAATAGCAGTAGTGGTACCAGAATGTCACTGGATGTCCTGCTATGTTCAGACTATTATGCAATGCAACCCGTAAACCATTTAATAACTGATTAGTAGTAATTAAGTAGCAATAAATATTGCAATCGTTCATTTTTGCTCCATATAGGTATAAGGTATAGGCATATAGATCACTTATATATAGGTATAAGTGATTGTATAGTAGCTTATAAGTCTTCCTTATTTATGGAATCTATATTACTCGTAATGTTTCATGCATGTCCTCCCATGTTCAGACTATTGTGCAATGTTACTCAGGAACTACTTAATGATTTATCAATATTAATCATTCAGTTAACAAACTGTGAAGTTTAAATAGTGGCTGCATAGCTTACAAATCTTTTATATTGTGGTACATATATTATTCATCTTTTATGAGTATTTTTTGCTTCTTAGACTAAGATTGAATGTGCGTTCTTATCAGTTTAATTAACTTATTATGGAATTTTATTTTATGAAGAAAGCATTGTGAAAGACGTCTTTGGCTTTATCTTAATAGCAAAGGGGTTTTGTAACACAGAAAGGTTGAAAATTCTAGCATTAACCTTTTTCAGATACATTAACACTTATAAGTACCATTAGCTGTGTTTAAATGGATTTTAATTTCCCAAACAATTACTTTATTCCTCGGCATAATGTTTATAGCATTAGACTGATATCTCAATTTCCCTAAAGAAATACAAGAATCAACTTGGTATCATTTGGCTTCACTATATAAAATAACATATTAAATTTCTATGCATCTGACTGAAGAGTTATAAATAAATATTCTATTTGTTTTCTAATTATAATAACATTGTTTCGTTTTTTTCTACAAAAAAATATGACATAAAACACATCCTATTTTCAGACATCAAATGTAATAAATTCTTTTATTGGAAATATTTGTTTTTTTTATTTGTTAAAATAGGACAAACTGAAAAACATTTATTTTTCAGACCTATGGAAGATATTCCCGAAGCTGTGAGAAAATCTCTAGAAATTTTAGACAGTATTATAGATGAAGTTGAACAAGAGAGTCAAATGCCAAGGAGAAACAGATCAAATGTTAACGGCACATTGGACAGGAGAAACAGGTATGTTCACTTTTTTTTTTTCAATAATTTGCTATTAACGGATAGTCTTTTACAAAAGAAAGAAATGAGATGACATTTTCCTTGTTTAAGTAAAAGAAAATATTAGATAATGATTTTTTCAACAGGCGGGGATTTTACTGTACCTTAATCTCACTTCGCCAACTCTTTGGTTTAGTGACAACTTTAAGTCGCCAAGATGGTGGCATGTCAACAATTTGGTAGATATTACTATGTTCCAGAAAAAAAGCAAGTTTTAAAAATTATTTTTTGGCCTAAAAATCTTCATATACCACACCTGTTCTCGTTTCGTTAAACCTTTATCACACATGATTTTTTTACGAGGTTATCGTATTTTATACGCAATTTAAGTTCGAATTATCTAATCGTTAACAACATGAAAACATAACATAAAAGTAAAAAAATTTTATCTAGTATCAAACGAATAATTTTATATTGAACTCAAATTTGATTAGCTCACTCTTTCCAAATGATATCAGTTACTTAGAAATCTCTTTTATTTTGATATCAGAGGGAACAGTTATGATGACTCGCAGCCTTAAAATCCATTCTCTATTGATCTTAATATTGAATGAATGCAAAAGGTATAGGTTAGCGAAGTAATATTCTGCTTTGACGTCTTAAAGAAAACCTCCACTTTTATCAATATTGTAATGTAACATTTCGTTATTGTTGGATTCAGATAGATGTAGAAAGTGTTATTTGCAGCGGGGGTAGTTTAGAGGGCATCGTAGAAGTTTTAGAGAATGTCCTAGAATTTCCATTTCCATTGGAAACATGGTATCTGCACTCTGTTTCAAGTTTGATACATTGATTTTAAGCATGAACTTAT